TGTGGGCTGTGTTTTCTGTGTGTGTGTGCCTGTGTGTGCATGTGTGCCTGTGTATGCATGTGGGCTGTGTTTTCTGTGTGTGTGTGTGTGTGCCTGTGTGTGATGTGTGCCTGTGTGTGCATGTGGGCTGTGTTTTCTGTGTGTGTGTGTGTGCCTGTGTGTGCATGTGTGCCTGTGTGTGCATGTGGGCTGTGTTTTCTGTGTGTGTGTGCCTGTGTGTGCCTGTGGGCTGTGTTTTCTGTGTGTGTGTGTGTGCCTGTGTGTGCCTGTGGGCCTGTGTTGTGTGAGTGTGTGTGTGTGGGGAGGTCCGAGACCCTGGTTACACGTTAGAACCACCCGACAGCTCTGAAAAGCACAAAGCCCTGCAGCCCCACCGCGGAGGCGCTCACTGAGCCGGTCAGACGTGCCTGGGTCAGCCCCTCTGAAGCCCCCAGGGCGTCCACCCTGCAGTAGCCCCCGTTCCTCACTCGGCCTCCCCGGGACACAGCTCCGGTGTGGAGCGGCTTCAGACCAGCGTGACCCTGTCCTGACGACGGCGGGGACTTGGACAGGCGTGCTCGCAGGGAGGATGCCGCCGGCGAAGGCGAAGGCGGACGGGCGAGGGGTCGATTCTCCCAGGGCCCCAGGCCTCCGCCCCTATTTCCAGCTCCCGGTCTGTAGGACCGGCTGTGTGCAGCGGCCTCTGAGGGCTGTGAAGGCGGCTGGGACAGGGAGGGCTGGGCCTCTGCCACCCTGAGCTGGGGAGGCTGGGGTGAGATTCGTTCCAGGGCACCCGTCAAGGAGGGTGAGGAGGGGCCCTGGCCGCATCTGACCAGGAACGTCCATTTCCCTCGCTGCGCACACGCCCTCTCTGGGTGCCTCCCCAGCCCCCAACGTACAACCTGCCACGTGCACACAGTGGGCGTCCCCTCTGGTTGGCAGTTGCTTGCCCGTCCTCTCCTCTCACCCGGGCATGGATGGGGCGTTCTGGGGCTTAGGAGTCCCTTTGGTGGTTGTGCCCAGCTCAGCGCCCGCCTCCTGCACGCACCACTGGGCCTTGTTCCTTGCACCATGCAGGTGTCCGAGGCCCACCCTGCTCCGCTCCCTGTGGTGGCCACGGAGGCCTTGAGGCGCTGATGCTCCGCCCTCACCCGGGGCCATGGCAGCTCTGGGTTCCCTCCCTGAGACAGACTGGCAGGTGGAGCACTGGTGCGTCATTCTCCCTTGGGCAG